TATAAGTACGCGCCATCACGCGCGCTTAAATGGTTTTTGTTTTTTGTTTTCATTGCTAGCAAAAAAATCTTGGAATTTCTTGTGTTTTGATTTTAAAAAGAGCCTTATATATCACAAATTTTGCTAAAGTCATACTCGTGATTAAACAAATCGGACTCACTCACTCGTATGATTACAGGCCGAATTGGACTCCACTCAGTCCTGTTACCATTACAAATATTGAATCATTAATTCGAGTTATATACAATCACGTCGCTTTACTTACTTTGATTAGTGAATGCTGTTATACAACACTGGGAAAGTAGCAGATGAAGTCTAAGAAACCATTCAGTAGCAGGACACTTCAGTTGGTTACCGGTACGCCAAAAACAGATAGAATCTTCAACAGGACTGAAATTAAATTTCAAGGATTTATTTTACGTTGTTTGGACTGTATAGCTCATGTAATTCGTCAAAGCTTAACACATTGAAATCGTATTGAGTATTTTAGCATCGCGGTCGTCATATCGGTGTTCAATAATCTATAGATTTCTCGACAGTAAACCATTTGTGCTGTTTTTAAACAGTTGTATTCGGGATACTAATTGAAAAGCTTCTAACGGACACTGTATAACCCATACGTCGCCCAGAATGCCATTGTTGACTGATTATGCCACTGGTTCAGGTCAAAACGAAGAGTTCTGATATTTTTCCACTGAAAAACCATGTTGTTTGTTAAGACTCGCAACAACACTAAAACACATTCAGTACACAATACTGAGGGATAAAGAGCCCCAGAGTAGCAATGCTGTCACTCACACGCCTTTTTTTTAAATTTCAATCCCCCACTATGGGGCGAGAGAAAGACGCGGACGCCTGGGAACTAGATAACACACTCCGAAAGTCGACCGGTGCCGAAATATTAGTTGATTGCCTTAGAATTTAAATGTCATCACAATCTCGTTGTTCCCTCTTCTCGTGATTGAATTACTCACAAAAGTTGTCCTTGCGCATTTTGTTGTCCAAATCTTTAAGTCACTGACAATAAAAATCTTTTGTCTTTTAGCTTTAAGAACAACCCGATAACCAAAGCTACCGACGGAGAAACAGAACTTCAGCTTGCTTTGAACACCGCTCAGGTTGGACGAACATTCCAAGACAGAACTCATGTGTTCCTGCTGAAACCACGGAGCGTTCTTCCTTTAAAATATCAGAAAAGTGCCATAAAGTACATCTTTGGGATGGGAAAGAGAGGAAATATTGTGCAGGCGTATCCTTCCATGGAGTATCGCTTCTTTCCTGAACTCCTTAGTGTTACAACAGACGATGTAGTGTGTTTCGTCTGGTCTGGTAAGAACTTTTAGACCAAATAAAAATTTAGCTTTTGTTTCAGTGGGAAACTTCAAGAAGCTGAAAATTATATTTCTTTTCTCAGGTCTTGATCACGTACAGAGGGAAACTTGGTAAAACAATCGTGTTATGGGGGGGGGGGGGGGTTATACCTTGTTAGCCTTAACAAGGATGTGCCGCTGAACAAGGTATGGTTTTGTTGCCGGTGTGCAGTCTACAAGCGTGATACGAAGTTATAACAACGGTCTCTTGTCTTAATCAGAGTCAGGTTTTGAAAATCTCGGCGGCACACCCTTTCCCAAACTTCAAATGATTGCCCCCTTGGAACGTAACTCACCATGGATAGTAAATATTCTAATCATATCAGAACGCTGATTCCCGAGCAAATGAAGTAACAAATGGAAAACACAATTAAATAAAGGGAAAATGCTTTGATCTTTAATCAAATTCTTTATGCCGAGACGTATGGAGATCCTTTTGGAGAACTGATATGTGGATAATGGGAGACTCTTTACCTATTTCCTCAGTCTCTTTTCTTCTTTTTCAGGCTCAAATCATAATCCGAGGGGCCGTGCTGGCCAAGGGACAGATCGTAAGTGATAAAACCCGTGATTAAAATTTTCGCTAAAATTGAAGATGTTAAATTTGATACCATTCTCGTTACGTGGAACCAACAGTGGGCCTATGATCGTCTTTCTTTGTTATTTAGAAACGGATCGTACCAACGTGTGCTTTGTGGAGGAAGGATGCAGTTCCCTCAAACCCCCCACTTGTTCCAGCGCTTTTCTCGATGTGGTTGACCATGTGGATGGATTTGACAGCGACAAGTTGAATCTGCACCTCAATAAAGGCTGTTACACCGGTTCCGCCAAACTGGATGCTGAGCTTAATAATGCACCAGCTTCCTGTAATCCACCATGTTTCCGCATCATGTTGCCTGGGGAATACTGTTATATGGGCACTCGCAATAACCAGTTCTCTAATCGACGTCACGTGGGAAAGATCATTGTTACCCAAGGCACTGTTTTCCCCAAGTTTGAGTACGGGAGCAAGTCACACCCTGGAAAGTCGTGTAAAGATATCAAGGACAAAGTGAAAGAGAAACGTACTAATGGAATCTACTGGATTATGATGAACGCCAAAGGTTAGTTAAGCTGACCTATGCTGAACTGTGTGTCAAAGTTATTGTTTCTGATGTAATTGGTCAATAAACAAACGTTTTAAGATGACTCGATGGGGGTTTTCAGGGTCAATACCTCCCACGTTTGGGCTTAAACTACGTCGCCATTAACAAGGATTTGGAAAAATTACCATCACTGTACAGCTGTATCATAGATAAAGATGAAAATTTGTTATGATCAGGGTTATAAAGACATCGGAGTTGTCACAGCCACGAAATGACGCCATTACCTATTTTACTTGCAGCCGTATTTTTCGGCACTGGGAACTCTTCTTCCAATACTTCGCCTCTATGCTATTGATGTTTAAGCGAAATCTATAAAGGCGTTATCGAGATATTTTGGGATGACATTTTTATGGTTAGAAATGCAGTAATAACTGGACAATCTTGACTTTCGGCCGTTTATCTGTAGAAATCGAAGCGCTTTTGAAATGCAATTTCACCTCATATTACTGTTTCAATATTTTTAAAAACGTGTGTGAAAGATCATGGAGATAGTTTTAGCCAATTGCTGGAAAGAAGTATTTGATTATTATGTATCGAGGCGCTCTCAAGTAATTAGAGGTTTTGTAAACATTTTGGTGCACTTAAGTGTTTCGATACAGTTTTTCAGACCGCATACCGGTATATTTCAATCGCCTTAAAAGTGTTTTTTCCTTGTCCGATCGCTATAAAATTTTCACCAATGATTGACTATAGATTGAAATTTGTCAAAATGTAGGTTTTAGTAAAATCGATATTACTATGCGGACAATACATATATCCATGACTAGTAAATTTCAGTGTGAGTATTGTCAATGTTTTACATTCAAAAGATGCGATAAATTCAAACTAAAAGTTACTAGTCATGGAGGTATGTATAGTGCGCATTATTTTGGAAAATTTAGCATAACGTCAAAACAGTGAATGTTGTAACGCAGATTTTTGACAGGTTCGTAGGATAGGTTTGTCTTGAGATTTTAAGATGTTGCAGTAAATCAATCTCAATGAAAGTTTGCGACCTTATTATATACATTATGAAGATTATGTGAAGAGATTTTAACAAAATTCGTTCGAGTCGTTTCAGAGATATACAAAAAAGCGCTGAAAGTCCAAATTTTGAATGAAGTTGCCCTTAGACAGGTGGTGAGAAAACGCGTTAGTTCTCAAGATCGCAAGAACGAAAATACAGCAAAATTTCCTATCATCAAAATATTAAGCAGCATTCTGATGTTACTTAAGAATAATTTGACTCATTTATAACGTTTTTATTAAATAATCTATCACGGCTATTGAAAATTAAGGTTTGAAATATATTTTCGTTTTAGTCGAATTCACTGAACATACAGAATTTTTTACTTCTTACGGAGATTGTTTGCTAAACACCAAACTTTAAGCTCCTAGTGTTGGATTTTCAGTAGCTGGTCTAAATCACAAAATTCGGCTTTTGTATCAATTTCAAAGTTTTTTGTTTATTGTTGTCATAGTACAGGTAATATCGATTTTACTTAAAACTACATTTTCACAAATTTCAATCCATAGCCAATTACTGGTGAAAATTTTATAGGGATCGGACGAGGAAAAAAAACACTTTTAAGGCGATTGAAAGATATCGGTATGGCCTCTGACAAAACTATATCGAAACACCTTAAACAAACGAGCGAATAATCTGAAAACTGCTCAACAGATCTTTCAACAAAACTGAGATTCTTGAGATTAACAGTCGTTTTATGACCTTTTAGTTAGTTCAAGATTATTGATATCTTGTAAAATAAGGGCCACAATTTGCTAATTTTTCGTCGGAAACTTTGTGTTAACTAGTGAGAGCCTTTCAATATCCAGGGTATTGTTTCCAAATGTCTTTTTCACGTGAACAGCAGTAACTAACAATGCATTTTAAACATGTAGAAATGTCCTTTACGTCCTTCAGGCTTGCCGGGATTCGAAGAGTGTAGCGCTGCATCAGTATCTCAGAGATCAGGGTTCGAATCTCGGCAAGCCCGCAAATCGTTAGACCTTGTAGTCTTTTTGGATAAGTACGATAAACCGAAGGCTCCTCCTAAAAGCTCTTTCATGACTCCCTGACCCTTGAGGGACGTACAAGGACCCACACTGCTGTTCGTTATAAGAGTAAGGGACGTATGTCCTTGTTAGATTCACATCAGGTTTAAAACTGCCTGATATAACAATAGCTTTATATCAAATAAGGGGCGTAGACCCTTGTAGTGTTCTTTATGTGTGTGTTGCTGCAAATCCACATCAGTTTTAAAGCTGCCCAATGGAACAATCTGTCATATCTAACAAAATGAGGATGTGGACAATAGCGATTTATTGTAGAACTTACACAAAGCAGTTCCTTGTCTACTATATTCCTGATCAAATTGGAATTTGAAAATCTTGGTTTTGGAGAAGTGGAAAACCGGGGTACCCGCAGGGGCCCGGGGGGCCCGCCCCCACTTATTTTTAGACCAACATGAGACCACCCCCCCTTATCTCACGTTCTGGATGACCGGGCTCCCCCCCTCCCCCCCTTATCTGAAGGTCTGGATCCGCCTTTGACCCGGATAAAAACCTTTGGCGGCCCAATCATAATACTCAACTTACGGCGTGAATAGTACGGCAGCTCTACGGCGTAGTTAGCAAGATTTCGAACCCGGCCGGTGGTGATAGGCCGGTGTATTCTCACCACCGCACCGCACCATGGGCGTGTTGCCCTTCTATTTAACTGTTTCAGTAACATTCACGATTGTCCTTTCTTTTCCTTTACTGTCCGTGTATAGCATGTTCAAACCCACTCGGGATGGAGAAGGCAAGTATAACCAATGCCCAGATCACAGCTTCCAGCCAATACTACCCTCCATACGAATCATTCAATGCCAGGCTGAATTCCAAGACTGGCTCATGGGTCCCCACAGCTCTTAACGGTCAACAGTGGCTGCAAGTGGATCTTGGTAAGAAAACTGAGGTGACAGGAATAAAGACCCAGGGACGACATGACTCTGGACAATGGGTTACAAGTTACCGTGTCTCCTACAGCAACGACGGCTCCACCTTCCAAATCTATAGGGAAAACAATAAAGACAAGGTATGTATTCAATTGAAAACTGTTGCAAGAGCAAGTCAGGGAATAACGTAAATGCTTGAATAAGCATCCCCAGTACGAAAAACTACCAAAACAGCTCCCTGTCCTAATAAACACCACTCTTCCCCAAGAAAAACCCAACGGAGCCTATAGTTTACGTTAGGCTACCTCGTTGACACCTGTGCATAATTCATTATAGTAATAGATAGGTCTTAAAAAGACGATTGGTCAGAAAAGTGAAACTTAGTAACAGCATGATTTAAAGGTGAATTTCAAATTTGAACCTGGCATGCTCAATTTAAATTTGCGTTTCTACTAGATATATGACACTTCTAAGTTTAATTTACCACTTCAGGTCTTCATAGCAAACCGGGACTCTGGAACAGTGGTTTCTAACGGTTTGAGCCCTGCCATACACGCACGCTACATCCGGATACTTCCTTACACCTGGCATAGTCATATTGCTATGAGAATAGAACTCTTGGGATGTCGTGTATCAGGTAGATACAGATTATTCACCTTCACTTCAATTCAATCAACATACAGCCTTTTAGTTTCTTACAGATTGCAACTGATTATGGCGAAGTGTTTAAGTGATCGTAGAATTCAGTGATGGACCTAGGGTAGGGCGCCGGGGAGCCCGCATCCCCCTTATTTTTAGACCAAACTGAGGCCCGAAAAGCCGGAAAAACAATTCTTTGAGGCCGCCACCACCCCCCCTCCCCCCTTATGACCGTGCCCCTCTTATCTGAGGGACTGGATCCGACATTGGAATTATAAACAAGTACAGCCCAATTTTGACCAGATTTTGGTATTATCGCATCTTTAAGTCCTTTAGAAAACGGCGCATTATTTTTAGCTTATCAGCTATGAGGTTTATTCCTTACTTAGCCATTGATGATTTCCTTACTCCATCTGGTTCTGCTTTTACGTCGACGGTGAAGTTATCATTAAAAGTTCACAAAGCTGAGAATGATGTTTTTTCAGTCAGTGACATAGGTGAATCGGGAAAAAAAATTGGAGAAAATAACTGGACAACATCAACGGCAAAGTTGTTTCCCCTGCTTTATCTTATTTGGTTTAAAAGAGATAGGGGTGGAAGGTATTCGGTCTGAGTGAAAACTTGTGATCTGTGATCTGTGATCTGAGTGAAAACGTGTGATCGGGCGAGTACAACCTGAACGTCACTCTCTCACATGGCGAGTGTCCCAAAAAAATATGTTTACATATTGGTTTAAGCTGCATCCTCTGTTTTTATTGTGGACTTCTGTTGAGTCGTCAAACGCTTCAATTTTCGAGACTGGTGGTTGGGGCCCTGCTGATCATAACATGTAAGTCGTATTCTGAGATAACAAGCCTGAATATTTAACTAGAAAGCAAAAATATTTAAGACATTCGGTAGGGTTGAAACATTTTCGGTGCTGGGATACTGTGTCGTCAAAGTTTTCAAAAATTAAAGTTTCGTTTTCATCCTCTACACAACTATGGCAAACCAAAACTTTCCACTCTGGAAAGCGTTTTCTTCAAGTTGCGGATTCGGCTGCCATTTTCATCGGATTCATCCGTAACAAAACGACCACGAATTCGCGGATTCCGTATAATATATCAGAATAAGTCTGGACGGGGCCTGTACAGTCATTGTGATGTACGTGGCGTTGTTTCGGAGTTTTCAAGTATTCAGTGATGACCTGTTGGGGACAAACTATGTGGGCGAAATGGCAAGTTCTAAATACTACAATTATCCTGCGGGGCAGACGCAACAAATTAAAGGGGGGGGGGGGGGGGAGAGGAGAAAGGGAGAAAAGCAAATCCCAATCCCGTCTCTCTTTTCCCTAGTTTATTACCCTTCCCTTTCATACAGCATGTTGCCTTCTCTTACACGATCGTACACATATTTTCAGCGCTAACGTTTGGCCCGCGCATGCGTGTGTTATTCTTGTGCTGATTATACACTTTAAATTCATAAGTTCCTTCATCCCTTAAAGCACCAATGCAGTTACGAGGACCGACATATTTTCTCTGTTTTTGTTAATAGTCCCAAAAACTGCATTTCCAGTTTTTTGCGACATGGACGCCGGAGGTTAGTGACATAAAGCCATTGCTTTTTACTTGTGACTGTCAGAGGCTGTTTTTAATTTTCTTGTCAGATTTCTAATTCCTTTTTTAGTCAAGGGAAAGAGGATTCTATTTACCTTATTGAGAGAGAATGAAAGATTACTGTATGTGTATGAGGTTGAGTGAAGATTGAAGGATGGTACAGATCAAAGAGTGTGTTATCTACCGGAGCCAATGGCTGAGGCGGATAACACCTCCGAGATCTGCATAAATCTTCGTGTCATACGAAAGCCGACTTTTAAGATCAATCAATCAATCAATCAATCAATCAATCTTAGTTCTTACAAAGCACATGATTACAGTAAAATGCAGTTCATAGTATCGAAGCCAGAGGCTTATATGGCATAGGTCAAGGTCAAGAACTTGTAAGCCAAAATGTGCTATCATAATGTTCAATTCTACTAGTCATTTGTTTACAATAAGTAGTAATAATATATAAATATTAATAAGTAATTGTTGTAATTGTTTTGTCATTCGTTTTAAATATTTCAAAATCTAAAACACATTTAGTGCTAGAAACATTGCTAGCTCTACTGTCAGTCCTTAGTCAACGTATTGCAGTGGGTCTGATCTTTGTATATTCTTCCTGTATTTTTTTAAGTGATTGGGTTATTTGATCTCCCCGTTCGAATTTCGGGTGCAATTAACCGTATTTTTGCGTCGATCCTTCAAAGGGTTTGCAGCGATAATTTATATTTCTCGAAGAAGCTTCACGTCTTGCTGGCAGCGCTTTTGAAAAAACAAATCGACGATTTTGCAGTCGAACCATTTTGGCTCTTTTTTTCTCTACCATTAAGTCGCAGCCTTGTTTTCAAGGTGTCTCCTTCGCCTCTATTAAAAGTGGTTGGGCTTGGGAACAACAAATGAATGAACCACTTTGGAAATTAGTTGTACATCTGCTAAACTATTGACGTCATAGATCTTATGCGACTCACTGCGATTAACGCTTTTTACCCAGGTTGGACAATGGTGTTTAAGGCTGTGGGCGGAGTGGAGAGAAATGTCTATGAAGTTTATAAATCTGATCAAACTTCATCCGAGGTTGAAGAGGAAGCTCTCGACATCACTAACAAGCACCGCGATCACTATAAGAACAGGATAGTTTTAGCATGGGAGGCATTTGCCGCATCTGAGGTACTTTCTCACAGATATTAAAATCATCTTAGTCAAATAGCGACCGCAGGGGGCGGTGGAGGGGGGTGTGTCCTAGAAAATAGGTGTTTCAGTCCTCCTGCCAGTATGACGTCACGTCTCACGTCAGTGACTTTCAAAGAGACGAAGAGACGGATACAAATTTTTAAGATTTGGAGATTTTAAGATCCCTATTGTCATAAAAACCAGACTTTGGTACTTTTTTTGGAATGTCCAGCAAATTTTCGGAGCATTTATATCGACCAGTCATCCTTTTAAAAGGGCCGGTGCAGAGCAATAGGAGGTTTATGAAAGGGTATACTAAGCTTTAAGTCTGCGCATTTTTGGCTCCTAAGAGCCAATGGATCCCCATATCAATCCCTTTAATATAAAGTTTGCTTCCCGCACCAAACTGTATATTAGTGATACATATTTCCATACACAATTTTTACAATATCACCGAGTACAGCACACTGTCTTTTGTTGTTGTTGTTGTTTGTTTCTGCAAGCGCCACACAACACGATGACAACAGTAGAACAATCACAGCAACAATTACCTCGAAGGATTAGCAGCAAGCAACAATTTATAACCAATCCAAACTACCAAACAATCAGTTTTTCAAAAAGCCAAGTACACATCGTTAAAGCGCTATAAGTAAACCAAGTCAGACTAGAAATACGTTATCGCAAAAACCTCGCAAAGTTGTAAAGGGTCAGCAGTAAGAATAAAGGAAAACAGGCCAAAAGGAAAATAGGATTAAAACACAAAGACTAAACAGAAGAAAAAACGGTACGAAGAAACAGTAATGATTAAAACTGAAAAGTTATTGGAGAAAAAGTCTTGACCGCGCGACATAAGCGCATAACTCAAGTTGAAATATAATATGTTTCATTACTAGGCTCGAGTTGGTCTTTATGAAGGAGGAAAGTCGAAGGTGGAACTGAAATTCAATGCTAAGGGAACGGACAACCAAAACTGGTTTGACGACTCCAAACTGACTCAAAGCAGCCCGTGGTCTGATATCAAAACGGAGTCAAAGAACTACTTTTCAGTCAGTGGAGATACAACAAAGAAACGGCACTTCTTCATCAACCGAGCCTACGCAGGAAATTGTGCCGGTGATACCGGGTGGATGGTAATTGCTGGTGGAGGATGTGACTGGGAGAGGGGTCACCAACACAAAAACCCCATACTGTACAGCAAGTTATCTAAATACACTAAATGGGAGGAGAAAAGTGAGTTAACCAACACATTGTGTCTTCGTGACTTTATTTCAGCTTCCGACATTTTTCTTTTATGGAGAAGAATCTCTCAGCGCAAATCTTTAGGTGAAAAGTTAAAGAGGAGTAAAATTACAAGAACAAAGTAGTGATGACGATTGAGGTATTATCTCACCAAGAGAGAATTAGGAACCTCATTCTCTCTTGGTCACACTCATGCACGCATCGTTTGGACCAAGAGTTACCTAATTTCCACTTGTTGGAAAGTCGGAGGGGGACAGGAGATTATGTTTGGGGAATACCTGTTCCTTGTCTCCTTTGTGATAACCCCCATGAGTGCTGGGAAAACAAAATACTTTTCACTTGTGAGTGACCGGTATGGGTAGGAAGGAGCATCATAAAAGATAACGGTATTCCTTACGCCACTCATCAAGGCCTTGAGATAAACTGGGTGCCCACTCTCCAAACATTTTTCGCACTCCCTGCCAAACCCACCCGAATTCCCCTTCGCCACTCCTTTTTTTGGATCCGCCACTTCTTCAAATGGTGTACTCTTCACCCTTGGGAGAATACGCCACCCTCTATTGTTTATTTCCATCGTTTTTGCCCACAATTTAAAATTATCATGAGAAATATGGGGGCCTACATCTTTCAGATTTTATACCCGAATGCAAAAACGTCGTCCCCTTTGCTTTTACTCTTTGAAAATTGATGGGGGAGGCATGTGATCTTTAGTTTCCTTTTTTTCCACTAGTGTTCTGGTTGTAAGCGGCTGATTTTTGATCGACCACTGAGGTCATAATCTGCCGACAACCATATGTTGGTAATCTCCAAAATGGAAGGACCTTTGAGGTTATCATGTTATAGCTCGTTAACTGTTCTTTATTTTCTTCGTTTTCTTTTTCAGATGACGTAGGGGAGGCAGACGTCTTGGCAGTGTTTTTGCGTTGAGATGGAACCAGGAGTCGTATTGGACGAAACGAAAAAAATGACCCTAGCATCAGTTTCCCCTTCTGAACCCTTTATAGCAACTACTTAGACTGGTGTAATAGCATAGTCTTCAGATAGCTCTTATAGTGTAGTCCTAGCAGTAGGAGATACAAAATATAGCACATGATTGAAAAACAGCACGTGTTTGTGGAACTTGTTTTTAGACCATTACAGCCGGAGACATCGGACAAGGATCCGGGAACGCCCTTGACAGTTATCCTTGCTGTACCCCAGGGAAGCCCTAGGGCCCGTGTATCTAGGAAAAGAAAGAAAGAATCCTGCTTCTCTTGCAAAACATCCATGTTCAGAACACGCGAAAGTGGTATTCTTGCCTATAGCTAGAGGCACCTCCCAGCGATCCCTTTTTTGAAAGTTCTGATCATTATCGGGGCCCCAGGCGCTGTTGTTGTTTACATTCAAGATCGAGGTTTCCATGGTAACGTGATGAAACTATCAGTGAACAAAGCAAAATGGATTTGTTTGTTGGCTAGGACACTGCTCCTATTCTTTAGATATTGATTTGATTATTCTTCGGGCCTGAGGTTACCGGGACTTTTGAGAAATAGGCCCCAGCTGAACTGCGTTCTGGAAATCTGGTGAATGACTTCAGACAGACCCCCTCCCTAACACGCCTAATTGTGAAATTGTATGAATGACAATGAAAACTCTTAAGCTGTATGTCTACTTTCTCCGCTTAGGCAACGGAGAACCCATTTTCCACCCATAGGGGTATAAACATGATTAACGATGATATATGGCTACTTTACTCAACAGTGCGCTAAAAATGTAACAGCCAAATGTGGCTTTTACTACCAGTTTCCCTTAGCTACTCTAAAATCCGAAGTTAAATAAAGTTATGTATGTATCAAATTAAACAACACAAACAAAAGTTTTAAAATTGCTACCTGTTTAATTAACGTTAAGGACTAAAAAGTCACGATAAGGCGTTAAAAGTCAGAAGAAAACTAACTCACGTAAATCGATGTTCCCCAGCGTTCAGCAACTGCAGAATTATAAAACTCTTGTGAAAAGTCATGGCCTTTAAACTTAATCAAAAGTTTGGGAATGATTTCACGCTCGTTTTGTCCAAATCCTAGGCTCGGGAAATTATTAGGATTTGGACAAAACGCAAGTGAAATTATTCCCTAATTTCACGATTATACCATCTGATTACCTATTAATATCATGGGTGACGAATTACGTTACCAATCTTGGATTTTTGACATGTTTATCCTGGATCGTATCGATCGAGAACTCCACTCTCTCAAATGTATAGACCTGAAATTTGGCTTCTAAAGTTCAGAAGTTTTCAGACTATTTCGGCAAAATACCTGTTAGAATCCTTCTTGACGTTCTCTTGCGTGTTCAGGTTTTCTAAAGCGTCTTTTTGTGCCCTGGCATCTTCATTCACGGCATTTTAAAACTTCGTCGCCATCTTGAGACCCTCTTGACACTGAGACGTACTGAAGGTTGCCATGGCAATTTTGTAATTTCTCATGTGAAATTACAAGGTTGCCATGGCAATTTTGTAATTTCTCATGTGAAATTACAAAATTGCCATGGCAAAGTGCCGTACGTGTCAGTGCCAAGATGGCGACAAAGTTTTTAAATGTTTTGACTGGTCTTTTGAGTGAAGATGTCAGGCCATTAAAAAAAGCTTTAGAAATCCTAAACACAAAGAACCCATCAAGAAGGATTCTCATAACTGCCAACTCTGACGATGCTGCCGTGAGTCTCACGATTTTTTATCTTCCCCCACGAGTCTCCCAATCTCACGGTTTGATATCATTCTGAAATGAGATGTTACGCTGTTGAATTGTGACCACATTGAGACAACAACTCAAACGCGGTGAATTCTAACACTGAAAAAACGGCTGTTGTTTTACTGACAAGTAGATAAGGTTGACGTAAAACCAGAAAGGAAAATACAATTTAACGATCTTAATTACATGCGACGAGAAATGTACTAGAGCGGTTTTCACTTGACTGTCGTAAAACCAAAACCAAAGTAAATACACTAGCCAACCAAAGGGCGTAGTAAAACCAAAACCAAACCAATTCCTCAATTACTTTCGACAGTGAAGTGAAAACCGCTCTAAGTAAACAAATATGAATACAAACTTAACTAGAAAATTACAACAGGCGAAATAATAAACCAAATAAAAGAGGAAACGAAAGAAAGACTAATACCTTGTAAGCCTATTATAAATTTGTCCAGAAAAAACCAAAATCCATCGCTGAACTAGCAAGCGAAGTAATCTCTGACCGCCGAGCTAACGATCATGCAACTTAAAAATAACGGCTTGGTCACCTGACCCCCAAAGGGCGCGAAAATTACACTACCGCGCGGTCCTGGGCTGGCTAACAGCCACATGGCTCCCCACAGTGGGAATCCACTGTCTAAAGTAAAGTGTTCCTTACATATTTTCAAACGATTACAAGTTCTAAGACAAAGTTCCGATCAAGCGTTAACGTGGCTCCTCGTCGGGGAATTCCCGGTCACTTTCCTGGATGAGAACCAACTTATGGACTGGTCGCTCGAGGTAATGAACAGCATCAATTCTTCGTCGTCGCTTGTCAAGACTGCGCGTGGCGATAGCAAGCTTCACCTTTCTAACAAGGCCATCTTCACTTGTAAAAGCGTCTTCAACTCTTGCCAATTTCCACATGTTCCTAGGTGCGTTCTCATCTTTAATCACGACAATGTCGCCTACAAGCATGTTACGCTGTGGTTTGACCCATTTCTTCCGCAGCTGGAGTGTTTGCAGAAATTCCTTTCTCCATCTTTCCCAAAACACGTTTGCCAAGTGCTGGACTCTTCTCCATCTCTTGCGAAGGTAGGTGTCCTCTCTAACGAATACGCCTGGGGGAGGCATCAGTACGTTACTCTTCATCGTCAACAAGTGATTTGGCGTTAGAGGTTCTGCTGAATCGGGAGACGACATGTCATTCAAGGCCAGTGGCCTTGAGTTGACTATTGCTTGGACCTCTTTCATAAGAGTACGAAAATTCTCATCGTTCAATTGGCTGCCACATTCTTCTAACAAGGGGGCAAGCACGCTCCTAACTGTCCTAATCTGACGCTCCCATGAGCCACCCATGTGGCTCGCAGAGCGGGGGATTCAATTTGAAATCAACCCATTCATAGTTCTCTTCACACAGGCTGATGCGCACTTTATCTTGATCTATCTCCTTCAAAGCTTCCTTTAGTTCTCGATGGGCGCCAATAAAATTCGTACCTTGGTCTGACCTAAGTTGGCGAATAGGACCACGTTCTGCTTGAAAGCGTCTAAGGGCGTTGATAAATGAGTGTATTTGCGGTCTCGATATGAATGGCTCGAGATGACATACATGTGAACAACACGCCATACCTCTTCAGATCCTTACAACCTTCTTTCACCACAAAGGGACCAAAGTAATCTACTGCACTGTATGTAAACGGAGCTGCAGGTTCTACCCGGTCTTCAGGAAGGTCGGCTAGCTTCTGGTGCTGCGGAGGGAGGCGCAGCCTTCTGCACATGACACACTTAGAAACAAAACGAGAGACGGCAGAAGTGCCACCAATTATCCAGTAACCGCGTTGACGCACTTCATTATGAGTCATTCCATAACCTTCATGCTGGGTCTCTTCATGGCAGTGTTTGAGAATAAGATAAGTGATATGAGACTTTCTAGGCAGGATAACAGGGTGTTTAACATTTTCTGACATGATGGCCCTTCTAAGGCGTCCCCCTACACGCAAAATGCCTTTTGAATCCAAGAACGGATCGAGTCGGTATGAACTACTGCATTTCTTGAGGCTGAAGTTGCGCTACTTGGCTGTTTTCCTGTCATGGAATTCTTCACTTTCTTGCAGCGATGACAAGATCTTGATTTCGTCCTTAAAATGCTCATGCTGAAGGCAACGAATAATTTCTATCTCCGCTTGACCAATTTCATTGACGTTCACCGGTTGGTATCTGACGACTTGCTCAGCTTCCTTTCCCTCCTTTAAACACTGTTTAAGTCGCAAGCAAATTGCTATAGCCCTCTTTGCTCTGAACCAGTCGGAAAACCGATCCAATCGGCTAATCTCAAAATGAACTGGATGTGTCTCGTTTGTTTGCGTCACCAGTGATGCTCTCTTCACTTCGGGGTCGTCAGAATCTAGTGGTTGCGGATTTTCTCTTCTTCTTTTCGATAAGCACCCGGACTCCAGAGGAAGTTTGGGCCTCTAAGCGACCTGGAATCATCGTCTAAAAGCTGACGAGCTGTAAGGCCTCGAGAGGCGGAATCGGCTGGATTCGACTTTGATTCAATGTACTGCCACTGTTGGGGGCCGGTGTGATCATGAATCTGCTGAATGCGATTTGCCACGAAGGTGTGAAAGCGCTTAGTCTCGTTGTTGATGTAACCAATCACAACCCTGCTGTCCGTCCAAAAGGATTCTGATACGTCTTGGTAATCAAGTTCCTTCAGCAGCCATTGACTTATTTTAATCGAAACGACAGCAGCTTGCAACTCTAATCGAGCAACTGTTATGAACTTTATTTGAGCAACACGGGCCTTTCCCATAAGAAAGGAACAGTAGGCTTGATTGTCCTTATTTAGAAGACGCAGGTAGCTGCACTGACCATATCCTGCTAAGCTTGCGTCAGAGAAATGATGCACCTCCACTGCTTTAATTTCACCGAAACCCTCAGGTTTGTAACATCTAGGTATCTTGAGTTTCTCCAGCTCGTGCACCTCGTTTCGCCATCGTTTCCATTTCGGTCTAAGCTTCTCACCAATTGGGTCGTCCCAGTCGGCGTTGTTACGACATAAATCTTGTAGTATTTGTTTTCCCATCAGAGTGAGGGGTGCCACAAAACCAAGTGGGTCATATACAGAACACACGGTGGACAGGATCCCTCTCCTTTTAAGTGGACGATCTTGAATAACGATTCTGAACTGAAAGGTGTCTGACTCAGCACACCACATGA